TTATAGCCAGGTGGCTTGTGCCTGCAATGCCAGCACTTTGGGAGACTAAGGCAAGAGCCCATAAGTTCAAGAGCTGCCTGGGCAACAGGCAACACAGTGAGATCCCATCTGTACAAAAAAAAAAAAAAAAAAAGAAAGAAAAGAAAAAAACAAAAGTGGCTTATACATGGGTAAGAATTATCTGGTCACACCATCTCTCCTGTACAACAATGGTCAGAAGCAACAAGGGTCTGCACAGACACATTTTCCTGTACAGGCAAACATGCAAAAGATACAGTTTCTGACCAGGTTGCTAATCCTCATCTCCATTTTTCAGAGAGGTCAAAGGTTTTTCCACAGTTCACTTAACAAGAATGTCATAGAACATGGACTCGGACTCAGGTCCTCTAACTCCAAATCAATTTATGTGCTTGAGTGAGCATTGTAGAGAAAAGGAAAGAGTATCTTGTTCTTACAGGTTTTCCCCCTGACATCATCCTATGAAATTACTTATGAGATTTTTCTTTTGGTCACAATTATCTTGTCAAATGACCATTTAGTATTCCACTATCATTAAACTTAGGTTCACTCTTTGCCACTTCCATCCAAGAAAAGGAGAATGTTTCTCCAGTCATAACCGTATACCTGGATCATAGCTCTCTTATTCAACTCTTCTTAGCTTCTCCAGTAGCTCTTTTTGCAATTCAGCAGGTATGGTGGAGAAAAAATTACACACACACACACACACACACACTTTTCCTCACAGGGTAGTGAACAATATTCAAATTACAGCTGGAATAATTGAGTTATTAAATATTCCTGGAGGCAAGAGACTGACCTGTTTGATAACCTTTATCCCTGAGAGGAATTAAGCTGGGACAGAGCATGGAAATGTAATACTTTTAGAGAGGGTAGCATTTGTAAAGAGTGGATTCTCTCCCCAAAGCCACAGGTGGGGGCAGCAAGAGAAAGTCTTAAGTTTTTAAATATTTAACTTTTTATTTAAGTATAACACACAAGACGACACATATATTAAGGGCACAGCTCTAAGAATTATCACTAGTGAACAAAAACTGTGTAACCAGTATTTCGGGATATAGCAGATGTACCTGACAGCAATAACAAGCATACTCTGAGCATGACCCTGTCATCTAAAATGAATGTGTGTTCAGAGTCCCAAACTAAGGACTCATGGGGTGACCAACCCTGAGTTTCACTCAACTGTGATGAACATCTGAACCCCTAGCCCATCCCTTACAACACAGGCAATACAGGGGGATCAAGGTCCTTTGCTACAGGTTAAATGGAGGTTGCTAGGTGGAGTGTGCTGAATGAAAATGATGTATAGACTGCATGATTTTTACAAACAGTAGTAGTTCTTCTGTCCAGCCTGCTACCACTGAACCATCCCGATATGTAAGTTCCCCCAATAAACCCAAGTCTTATTCACTGTCTCCACATGTCTTCTTTGGCCTCTTGGACACAGTGTCATTCCTATTGGAGTCACTAGGGGTCTGGCATGACCCCGGCATTGCTAACTTCCCAGAATCCTCTCTTCTGGTCACTACTCTTCTACCCTACAAGTATACCATTAATCCTGCTTCTAAGTACATAGATTTATTTTGCCTGTTTAGGGACTTTACATGCATTAATTGTAAAATATGTGCTCTTTTGTGTTTGGAATGTTTATTTCAACATTAGGTTTACAGGATTCATCCGTACTGCTAATGTTCATTCTCATTGCTATATAGGATTCTATTGTGTGAATATCCCACAATTTATCCATTCTACTGTTGATGAACAGTTAAGTAGGTTCCAGCAGGGTTATTAACAAATTATGGTGGACACAGGTATGCGTTTCTTATGAATACAATCCTAACTGAAATTACTGGGTTATAGAGTATGCAAACTTCTACCTTTAGCAATTACGAAGTTTTCCAAGTGCCTGTACCAGTATACATTCTAAACAGTATATGAAAGTTCTATTTGCTCACAACTGCACCAACATTTGCTTCTTTTTTTAATTCCTAAGATCACTCTACCTAAGCTATTTTATTTTACCATTATAGTGAAAGTGGTGTGACACTGTGATTTTAATTTGCATTTCCTTGACAATAAATGAAGTTGGATGCCTTTTCAGATGTTTATCAGCCATTTGGATCTCTTTTCCTCCTATTCAAGACTATTGCCTACCTATCTTTTAGGTGTCTGTGTTTTTCTGATTAGTTTTTTCTTTTTTCTTTTTTTTCCCTCTTTTGCATTTGCTTGCATTTGTTTTCTTTGCAAGCGAGGATAAACAGCTGATCAAGTTATGCCGTCATTTTTTTCTTTCGTCAATTGCCAAAGCTGCTTTTGGACTTGCCATATATATGTATGCATATATATTTTATATATATATATACACACACACACACACACACACACACACACACATTTATATATATATGTGTGTGTGTGTGTGTGTCTGCAACTAGTTCTTACTGAATGCTTACAATGTATTTTTTTCATTTTTAAAATTAAAAAAAATTTTTTTTAGAGACGGGGTTTCTCCATGTTGGTCAGGCTGGTCTCAACTCCCAACCTCAGGTGATCCGCCCATCTCAGCCTCCCAAAGTGCTGGGATTACAGGTGTGAGGCACCGCACCCAGCCCATTTTAAATTTTTTTTTTATTTTGAATGCTTACAATGTAAAAAAGACAACGTATATATCCTTTAATACTATATCTACTTTACGATTTAGTTTTATTATCTAAGACATTTTACACTGAAGAAACAGCAAGTAAAGCTTACACAATTTCTCATGTCACATATCAAGTTAGTATCAAAAACTAACTTAAAGGATTCCAAAAATCTGTGCCTAACCACACTCCCATACCTTCTCTGTTGATCTACTTATCTTCTATCAATATGTAGTTATTACAATATTAACCCCATCTATATCATATAAAGTACATCTATCCCATCTATTTTAATTATATTTATTGAAGTCACCAAATTTGTATTACCAGTCATGTCATGACCCCTGATTTACAGAATACTTTCTCTCTCCAATTGGAGGTTAGTAGATTCCTAAAACTCAGCATCATTCCTTTCACCTTAAGTTTTTTCTCCTCATCCTCATGTCAGTAAAGGACACCATCATCTACCAGTTCTGAAATTAACAAAAAAGCTGCCATGCTATATTTTCACTTTCTAGATTACTCTCATCAGCAAGTCTAATAATACTACCTTCAAATGCTCTTCCAATGCAATCATTTCTACTTCTCACATGCAGGTCAGAGCCATCATTGTCCCTTAACTGACTAACTACAATAGTGTCCTAATTGCTTTCTTATTTTTATTTTTGAGGAATAACATATACACAGTAAACTATAAAAGTGTGAAGCATATAGATATATGAATTATGTATCAAGTTATCAAGATAAAGAAACTCAGCATACCTAAAGTTTCCCCATGTCATTTCTCAAACATCCTAAAAAGAAAAAGAAAAATCCTTTCTTCCTTCTACAGAGGTAGCTACTATTCTACCTTTCATCACCACAGACAAGTTTTTACTGCTTTTGAACTTTAGAACTGAATCATACAGTTTGTACTCATTTCTACCTAATTTCAATCATCATGTTGCGAGTGATCCATACTGTTTCGCATAGCAATTGTGCCTTATTTTCTATTATTATGCAGTATCCAATTGCATGATTATAGTACAAATTTTAGCATTTTGGAAATTCACATCATTTCCAGGCTTTGGCTATTAAGAAGTAGCAACTAACATTATTACGCGTTTTGTTTTTTTCTTCCTTGCTTGGTAGAAAAACAAGCTCTTTAACTTTTGTTTTTTTTTTTTGAGACGGAGTTTCGCTCTTGTTGCCCAGGCTGGAGTGCAATGGCGCGATCTTGGCTCACCGCAACCTCCGCCTCCTGGGTTCAGGCAATTCTCCTGCCTCAGCCTCCTGAGTAGCTGGGATTACAGGCACGTGCCACCATGCCCAGCTAATTTTTTTGTATTTTTAGTAGAGACGGGGTTTCACCATGTTGACCAGGATGGTCTCAATCTCTTGACCTCGTGATCCACCCGCCTCAGCCTCCCAAAGTGCTGGGATTACAGGCTTGAGCCACCGAGCCCGGCCAAGCTCTTTAACATTTTTAATAAACCTATCACAAACTGCTGCTCCTAGATTACAAAACGTCAAAGCCCTTTTGATAGTGGGGTCCTTAAATCTGAAATTCACGTCACCATAATAGAAACTAGAGCTGCTGTACCTTACATTCTGAAAAGTGCCTCAACAAAAGCACATGAAGGACTGTTTAGTATTTAAAAAGATCCATCTTTCCTTCCAATGCCTATAGGTAATAAAAGGAGAATTCTGGAGATGTGCTATTGAGTTTGAGAAAGCCAAATTTAATGATTCCAAACTCCAGCCTTAACTATTTCTGTAAGGACTCAAAGAAATGACCTGTCATTTGTCTCTTCTCCCACTGGCTTCCTCAAGCACAGATGCTTCGGACCCCAGTATGACTAATCAAAAAGTCTTACCAGTTCCATCATTATGCTTCTCTAAAGAGTTACTAGTGAAAGCAGCAGCTTTAATTTAGTTTTTTGCCAATCTTCAGTCCTCAGAGAAGTCTTTTATTATTAAAAAAAGGGGGGGAGGGGCAACTATTCTAAGGTATTCAACAAGAAGCAATAGGTACCTTTTTTATGGGAAGGACTTTTTTTTTTTTTTTTTTTTTTTTGAGACGGAGTTTCGCTCTTGTTACCCAGGCTGGAGTGCAATGGCGCGATCTCGGCTCGCCACAACCTCTGCCTCCTGGGTTCAGGCAATTCTCCTGCCTCAGCCTCCTGAGTAGCTGGGATTACAGGCACGTGCCACCATGCCCAGCCAACTTTTTGTATTTTTAGTAGAGACGGGGTTTCACCATGTTGGCCAGGATGGTCTTGATCTCTTGACCTCGTGATCCACCCGCCTCGGCCTCCCAAAGTGCTGGGATTACAGGCGTGAGCCACCGCGCCCGGCCCGGGAAGGACTTTCAAGCTAAATCCAGAGCTTAACTGAAATAACTTTATAGAAATGTCACCATATAAAACTCTTAAAACCTTACCCCTGGCAGCTGGATGGATGGGATCTACACACACCACGTCTCTTAAAATGCTCTCACAAAAATGGTAATAAGATAATCAACTTCCTTAGGTCAAATTCACATTCGGCCACGCTGCCACCTGCAAAATTAGCTGAAGGGGAAACAATAAAGGTCCTGCCGGACAGCCATGAGCAGCCCTGGTGCTGCTCCCCGGATGCCCCCAAGCCGAGATGCGAAGGCCACGCTGGGAATGTCGTCCTCGGAGGCGGGGTATGGGGAGGGGATGGTTCTGAGCAGGTGGGCATCATGAAGGCTCCAGATTCTTGTGTAGCAGTCCTGACCTACTGCCACCACGATTCCCTCTTCCTCATGCACATGCAGGGGCAGATAGGCGGACTCATTCACATGACCTTCATATTCCCTTATACATTTAGTGGCCCTCAGGTCCCACAGCTTGATCTTTCCAGTCATGTCCGACGCCATCAGGCATTGCTCTTCTTGGAGGATTTGCATAGAGGTCACTGCTGAGTCATGGAACAGGCGAGTGGCCTTCCACCCCTTGCCTTGATTTCTACAACGCAGATCAATGGCAAAGATCTCCCCGGAGCGACAGCCATTGAACAGCAAAGGGGCCGTAATGGCAAACTTCTGGGCCAAGACATCACTGCTGGCACCAAATGACTGCTGGTGTCCCGTCGCCACGTTGGTCAACAGGACCTGCTGAGACACGCCGGCACTGAAGTAGTGATATGCCTGGAAGTTCAGGGACCAAGCACAGGACCAGGCCGCAGGGATCTGGAAACTGCAGAGCATCCCAGGCTGGTTTACTCTACTGGAATAGACATTTAAGAAGCGCGACGCTGGGAGCAGCACGGCACAGCTTGGAGCTTCTCTGATTCCCTCAAAGCACAGCAGAACGTGAGAGTCCAACTGGTTCAGCGAGGCCCAGCACAGGGACTTCACCTTCCGGTTGGGGACGAAGAGGTTTCTGAGCACGTACACGTGGAACGAAGGGATCTTCAGCGTTCGCAAGCTGATGATGCCATACTTGGAGCCTTCGACTTCCACCTGGTTCACTACGAAGAGCTGGTCGCTGTTGGTATTCGCCAGCATGAAGTTAAATCGGTCGCTTGCCAAAGAGGAGAGATCCAAGCTCCGAATCTGAACCTTTTTCCTCTGCATGCAGCTCACACGCAGCTCGTTGGCTAAACGGGAATAACTGGTGACGTTAAGGAAACCTAGCTGGCTTTTACGGAGCAAGGAAGATGCATTAAATCCCATTCTGGCTACCTTTTTCTGCTTGGCCTCTTCCTCGAGGAGCCGCAGCCTTTCAGCCTCCATTTCTCCGTGCCGGAGGGTTACTCGTAACAGGAAATGCTGCCGGATGTTCTTCTCTGCGACAGGAAGTTCCGTCCAGGCTCGAGCGGAAGTGTTGCTAGTTTTTTACAAGTTCTGTTTTCTCGGGGTCAGTCCTTTCTTGGTGATGTGTATTACAACTCACTTTTCCTACTCTGGGTTTTCTTACTCTCTTGGTGTCTTGATGAAGGAAGTTTTTTTTTTTTTTTTTTTTTTTTTGAGACGGAGTTTTGCTCTTGTTACCCAGGCTGGAGTGCAATGGCGCGATCTCGGCTCACCGCAACCTCCGCCTCCTGGTTCAGGCAATTCTTCTGCCTCAGCCTCCTGAGTAGCTGAGATTACAGGCACACACCTCCGTGCCCAGCTGATTTTTTTGTATTTTTAGTAGAGACGGGGTTTCACCATGTTGACTAGGATGGTCTCGATCTCCACCCGCCTTGGCCTCCCAAAGTGCTGGGATTACAGGCTTGAGCCACCACGCCTGCCCGGTCTGGATTTCTTGACCTCGTGATCCACCCGCCTCAGCCTCCCGAAGTGCTGGAATTACAGGGTTGAGCCATCGTGCCGGCCTAGGAAGTTCTTAATGTTAATTTTTTCCTTTTGTCTTTTTGAGACAGGGCCTTGCTCTTTTGTCCAGGCTGTAGTGCACTGGCATGACCATGGCTCACTGCAGCCTGGAACTTCTGGGCTCAAGCGATTCTCCTACCTCAGCCCTATTTAGCTGGGACTACAGGGTCATGACACCATGCCGGCTTTTTGCAGAGGTGGGGGTCTCCCTGTGTTGCCTATGCTGGTCTGGAACTCTTTTTCTTTTTTCTTTTCTTTTCTTTTTTCTTTTTCTTTTTTTTTTTTTCTTTTTTTTTTTTTTTTTTGAGGTAAGAGTCTTGCTCTGTGGCCAGGCACCAGGCTGGAGTGCAGTGGTGGGATCTGGCTCACTGGAACCTTTGCCTCCCGGGTTCAAGCAATTCTGCCTCAGCCTCCCGAGTAGCTGGAACTACAGGTACACGCTACCATGCCCAGCTAATTTTTGTATTTTTAGTAGAGATGGGGGTTTCACCATGTTGGCCAGGATGGTCTTGATCTCTTGACCTCGTGATCTGCCTGCCTCAGCCTCCCAAAGTGCTGGGATTACAGGCCTGAGCCACCGCACCCAGCCTGCTGGTCTGGAACTCTTGAGCTCAAGTAATCTGTCTGCCTCCGCCTCCCAAAGTGCTGGGATTATAGGCCTGAGCCACTGCACCCACCCTGTATTTTTAAAATACAGTTAGAGACCAGCCTGGGTGGCATGGTGAAACTTTGTCTATAAAAAAGCATGAAAAATTAGCCGGGGATTATGCACACCTGTAGTCCCAGCTACTCAGGAGACTGGGATGGCAAATCACCTGGGCCCAGGAGGTTGAGGCTATAGTGATCGCCCCACTACACTCCAGCCCAGCTGGGAGACAGTAAGACCTTGTCTAACAAAGAAAGAAAAATAAGTAAATAAATTATGAATGTGTCCAAATTATCAGTTTGTTTCATTAATGGTATTTTTCGTGTTCTGTTCAGGACATTTGTACCTATTACATGGTACTAGTAAAGGTCTGGGGCATCTTGAAGAAGAGGAAACTGATATCTCCAGTCCCCGTTTGGATGTTTCCTCTGCCAAAAAGCTTGCTGACTGCTCCTTCATTATGAATTTCCAGGAATTTTGGAGGATTGGGGAGAGTTCGTAGGGACTACAGAGAAATATGGTGATAATCTGGACTATGGACCCTGTCGGAATCTACAGGCCCCAGAGCTGGGATCACAGGGAGCACATGAGATTGAGGCCTAAACACTTGCCATGGAATATAACAAGGGACAAGGGATTTCTATGTATCGGAAGAATGATTTTCACCACTGCCAATTGGGAGTCAACTGACAAGATGGAGCATGTCTTGCAAAGGGCTACCAAAACTTACAGGGCTGCTTGATACTGAGTTCTCTGTGGGGCTGTTGGGAACTCTACGCATTCTCACTGACAATGACCTACAGAAAGCAGACAGCAACATGGCCACAGTCAGGCATTTAAGGCATTGCCTGTTTCCGTTCTTGAAACTCACAGCCCCGCCATTGGAAGAGCAGGCACATGGAGAAAAGAGAGGTGTGTGTAAAGAGGGTTGGAACTACAGGTCTAGTCTGCTCTGCAGGGCAGAGAACAAGTTTTTTAAATAAATATGAGACTAATGTTTTAAATGAGTGGAACTAATTTCAATACCTAGAATGAACATTTTAATAACTAAGGAGGCAGACAGTTAGAAGCAATGAAGTGTGACAAAATACCAAGCGTAGAAAGTATGAGACTTTTGGCAGTGCACGGTGGCTCACGCCTGTAATCTCAGCACTTTGGGAGGCTGAGGTGGGCAGATCACGAGGTCAGGAGTTTCAGACCAGCCTGACCAACATGGTGAAATCCTGTCTCTACTAAAAATACAAAAATTAGCTAAGCGTGTGGCACACACCTGCAATCCCAGCTACTCAGGAGGCTAAGGCAGGAGAATTGCTTGAACCCAGAAGACAGAGGTAAGTCAAGATCACGCCACTGCACTCCAGCCTGGGCGACAGAATGAGACTCCGTCTCAACAACAACAACAAAAAAAAAAAGAAAGAAAAGAAACTATGAGACTTTCATGCTTATGCCTCTTAAGGTGAGATTCTCAAACTGATTACACATCTTTGTCTACCCTAGTATACTGTGGACATCTTTAGACAGGGATTGTTTCTTAACCATCTTTCTATCTTTACTGTCTAGTATATAATATAGTGCCTGAGACATAGGATATAGGTGAGTGAGTGAAGGAATGAAAATTATAAGAACTACATAATGTTTAATTCTCTTTTATTTCATAGGCCCCTTTACTGAGAGGAATAAGGGGTTAAGTTTATTTCTGCAAAATCTATCCAATTTCCACTCTACAGAGAGAGCTTTCAATCTATTTCCACTTCTTTTTTTCAAATTTTAATTTCTGTGAATATATAGTAGGTGCATATATTTATGGGATACATGAGATATTTTTATACAGGCATGTAATGTGAAACAAGCATATCAGGATAAATGAGGTATCCATCGCCTTAAGCATTTATCCTTTGAGTTGCAAACCATCAAATTATACTCTTTGTTTTAAAACATATAATTAAGTTACTATTGACCATAATCACCCTGCTGTGCTATCAAATAGTAGGTCCTATTTGTTCTTTATTTTTTTTTTTACATATTTACCATTCTTTTTCTGATCAACTAACTTTCCTTCCCTCTCCATAAATAAACAAATCAATCTTCTAGAAAAAATATCTTTCTCCTTAAATGTTACATAACTTTTTATCTACTGTCTTAAAAAATTATTGCAGCCTTCAGGATTCTTTCCTTCTATTTTAGGAATTTACATACTTTGTTCCCACCACTCCACTCCATTTCCTTCATCCACCATCTTCCCATTTCTCCATAGGAGAAATTGGAAACATTCCCTACAACTCTCACAACTCTGTCCCTCAGGACTTACCTGCCCACTCCAGCTCAAGGTCCCATACTCCCCTGCCCAACCACATCACGTAACCAGTGGTTCTCATCCTAGGACATCTGTTGGCAACATCTGGAGATATTTTTAGCTGTCACAACTGGATACTACTGGCATCTAGTGGGTTGAGGCTGGAGATGCTGCTAAACATCCTACAACACACAGGGCAGCCTCTGACGACAAAGAATTACGCCCCAAAAACATCAATAGTGCCACTATTGGGGGGTGTGTGTGTGTTTTAAATTCCTAAATATTCACACATGCCACATACATCTTAGTACTGATCATTTTTCCCATATCCCACCTCTGTTCATGTCTGAAGCCACGTCTCCACTTTAGCCTCACTGTTAGTCACAGAGAGAACAAGGGGCAACATTTCCCATCTCCTTACCCCAATATCTATACAAGAGGGATAGGAAGGTAAAAAAAATAAACAGGGATAGATTCTTACTCTATTTTCTGAGCCTCTTGCAAAGTCATCTTCTAAATGCTTCAGATAGGCTTCATTGCAGCTTATTTTTTCTTACCAATTTCACTATAATTTTTCCTAATATCTCCAACATTCTTCTTGTCTTTGAGAAGCTTGCTGGCAATAACTTTTGTCTGACATTAAATGTATTACATTTCTATGACATTTTACACTAGTTCTCTTTCTAAAAATAACTAGGCCTTTACTTTTTAGCCAATTTTTTAATTTCCAAAACAGAGGGTGAACTGGTTCAATTCTGGTATGAATTTTAGCTATGCCATATCAACTTCTGGACACAAGCAGCTAAAGAGAAACTGGAATGGGAAGAAAGTTACATTACTGCTCTGTTTCCTGGTTAGGAATGAGTAGACTTTAGAAAAACAAGGCCAAAGCATGGTTTGTACCAAGCTGAAAACATGCCCTTGAAAGCTGAGGCATCAGTTGTGCCTATGAAATGGTAAACAAACCTGGTAATGGTGAACAAGCCATGGCTTTGGCTTACTTGCACTAAGGAACAAATCAATTGAAGTATTTCATATTCCCCTTCAGAAGCAAACCATAAAGAGCTATGAGACTTCCCAAACAATTGGGATAAATGTGGGAATTTAATAAATAAAATGAAACAGAAGGAAATAAAAAGGAGCAAAATGCTTTTTTAAAAGCTAAAAACATTTTAGGAAGTGTGAGAATAATAATTACTAAACCCACATGTCTGTGACAAACGAACTGCAATCAAAGGCCAGAGTACAAATAAGAATTATTCATTAACTTGCACTGTAGCATCTGCTACTTGTTATTTCAGCAAATGAATTGTGCAGTAATGACAGTGAATTCTAAACTTGAATATCTAATAATCAAACAGTCATTCCTGCTTCCTACTTGCAAGAAGAAAAAAAAAAAACTAAAAGGAAGAAAAAAGTTATGAAAAAAATGGTAAACTGATTTTGAGACTGGTCATATAATTCAGTATATCATTCAGACTGGGCAGCAGGCTTCCCACTGATCTAGCTGCTGAATACAGAGGTTTTTTAGGGTAACAGGTGAGCTCTACCATGGCAG